CAATAAATGCTTTCAATTAGACCATGCAGCTTTAATGATACTAGAAGACTCCAGCAGAAAAAAGTTAAACCTTCTCTTTCTAACTTACCTACATATCAAATAGAAAAGCAGGTGTTTGCCTTTGAAGTAACCCAGTAATAAAGATCTCGGTAGGTTTAGTTCAAGTAGCCTTTCCCTGAAAATTGGTGCAAGTTAGGTCTTAAATTTAAAGCTTGTACTTTATTTTTCTGCTAGGATCCCCTATCCTTAACTCTGTCCTCTGTCCCTCCTGGCAATTGCTTTCTCCACTGGCTATCCCATCTCTTAGGAACAGATTCATACTTCAGCAGTACAAGATGCTGGATAAAGCAGCAATGATGTATAACTATCATTCCTTTCCTTTTTAAACGCATTCTTACTCATTAGGGCACATAAAAAAGTTAGGCCCGAGGGCCTTGAAGAAAGAGGGTAAAGGATGCTTTCTCATCTTTCTCAAGTTCACCATTTTAATCTATTGAACTTGTTTATTCTCATCCAATGCGTAATGTTAAGTTCATTTAGGGAAGCATTTAATGCATGGTTCTTTTGTGACAAATGTGATAAACATCACTTTCTATTACTTAAAGCTGCAAGGATGTTTATTAGAGGTTTGGGGTGTATTCTTTATCAAGATTTCATATTTCACTGAGTCATTCTTGCTAAATTTCTTCCAATTATGTAAGTAAGAAAAGGATGGCTTTGCAGTGACATTTGCACTCTGTGTGTTGGTTAACAACCTCTTTAATTATAAGCAGTCTCTAAAGCACTCTCCCATACCCTTAAATACAGCTGATCCTTTTTATATAATTTCATTTGGCTGTTAGAGTTTGGAGGATATCCAGTAAAGCACTTCAGCAAATTCAATAAAGTACATACTATAATTAATATAAAATCCAATAATGATGGTAAACTGGTCTTCCTAGAGAACAGCCAGTAAGACATCATAATTTGGCTATTGGCATAAATATTTTTAGCAATTTGTTTAACAACTGTGGCTTAGAATTCACCCTGACTTAAAATATGGCGTTTAAATACTGTGTTGTGTATGCAAATAATATCAAGGGTACCCTACCTTAAATGTATGAGTAAGCATATTTCAAATTTATATTACTACTTGTCCTCTGCTACAGCTGCAGAGGATGAATTAACATGTAGTTTCACTTCAAGGTTTCGCTTTACATTTACTTCAATAGCAAAAATGCCAGAGAGATGCACTGAGCTGCATTGTTATTCAAATATTTGTTCCAGTATTTATATTCATATGTGACTGTGCATAGAGGAAAAATAAATGGTATCTTTCATCAACAGCCATTAAGTAAAATCAAGCAGTTAAGGCAATTTCACTTTCTGACATATATACCCACTTAAAATATCTATTCTATATGTCAAACCAGATATTGTAAAAGTGGATTTTAATGGGAATAATGTATCTGACTTTATTTTAAGTGTACCTATCATTCTATATTTGACAGGCAGCATCACAAGGCTTTCTAACATGCAATAATTTTGGCATTCTTCTCTATAATGACCTGTCCACCCAGAAGTATCTCTAAACTAGAAGAATGAATCTCAGTCTGAAGAGAAAAATAAACTCCTCAAAATCAGCTTCTTTTCAAGATGCTTCCAATGTTATTATTCCATTAATAATGCATTTTTAGTTGTCAAAACTGATCAACATCATAGTTTTTTCCTAGATACTGTTTATTATAAATCCCTTCGTAACAATACATTATTTTGAGGTGAATAAGAAACAAAACCATTTACTGTCAAAGGGAATTAACAGTCAGGAAGCTATAGTCTTTCAGATGGGGAAATAAGAAAATTAACATGCAGCGATCTGTTTTAAAATATCAGTATGTATTTGTTGGCATAAAAAATGAACAATGTGTAGCCAGGCAGAGAGATTAAAGTTACCTGAAGCATTTCCTAATTGTTCTTGTTGGCTAATTAGAAAGTAATATTTGAGCAATAACAACTTTTTTCTACAGTCTCAGTCAGGGTTTGTATCTCAGAAGATTATCATATCAAGAACCCTCTCAGGAAATCAGAATTGTTTAAATCAAACTTTGCTATTATAACAACATTTTAATCTTATCCTCAGACCTTTTAAAATCTTATTGTTTACCAGTTACAATAAGAATTCAACCTCCACATGATGTTTATGTATGTTGAATAAGGGGAGACATTCCATCAGAGAGATCCCCACTGCTAGAACAGATGGGCATTGTCTCAGTACTGTTAAACAGGGCGATGTGGAACATTTTATTTCACACATAAAGCAAATCCAGTAAAATTAGCTCTTTTCAGTGCTTTTGACACTTTGGTGGAGAAAATCTCCTCTCACCTGGGGAGATGAGTGTAAGACATCTGAATCCGTTTTGGCTTGGGGAATTTGGTTATGTAAAAACTGACATTTTCTTTTTTTCGGCTTCCCACCCAGTGCCCCAGGTCCCTAGAAAAACCTGTTAAATGCTAGTGAAAAAAAAAGTGAGGACTTTACACCCTCTTTTGTCTCACATAAAAAAAAAAAAAAAAAAAAAAAAAAAAAAAAAAAAAATCAGTATTTTTGTACTAATTTATCGTTTCAATTAGAGAACTTATGGTTAATTACTGCTTCTCAGTAATGACAACATTTACCATTTAAATCCTAGATTTCAAGATATCTGCAGGAAGCTGGTCAAATGTAACTACTGAAGATGGGACTCTGAGTTACAAGGAGACTATATTGCACATAATGTAACAGGTACAAGTCAGCACCAAAAAACAAAATCCAGACATTATTAAGGGCTGGTCTTGATCCACAATAATATATCCTAAAGAGCTGGGGTACTTTGAGAGAAAATAGCACAGAATTCAGAAACCACAGTTCTTACTGATATATTATGAACTGCCAGGATACTTGGTTGTTAATTATCTTTACAGTTCCAAAAACAAAATTCAAAAATCTTAAAGCATTTTCCTTGGGCTCTGAAAAGTGGAGGTGACAATTCACTATCCATAATTTTGGTAAAAAAATTTCAAACACTATGTTCTTGTGCATGACCATACCAATCAATGACTTTTGTTTCTTGCATTCCTCAAACCAAATTTGTATTAACTGGGGGGGGGGAAACCCCAAAAAAACCTCAACAAACCAAACCAAACCAAACCAAACCAAACCAAACCAAACCAAACCAAACCAAACCAAACCAAACCAAACCAAACAAACAAACAAAAAAACAACCAAAAGACCAAACAACAACAACAACAAAAAAAACCCAAACCAACCATCCAACCAAACAAAAAAAAAAACTTGCATTGCAACCTTTCTTTTAAGGAATACAAATAATCCAAATTATAATTTCCTGTCATTTATATCAGATTAATTAAACCTTTTTAAAGTAGTAATAAAAAAAGATATAAAAAAGATATTTTTCAAAAAGATTCTGCACACTGCCATAAGACACTAATTCACCGCACAAGATTTGTTCAGCCAATCCTTTAAGTGACTCAAGAAAACAACCTTTGAAATAATAAAGTTATTTTCTAGAGTCTTTCATATAGCTGCTTTGTCCTCCTTGTTCCATGCTTATTGTCACAATTAGGAAGAAAGACCTGTTGCACCTCTACCCAAATGGGTATGTGTTTACTCAATTCAGATGGACAAATTTATCCCCATATCCCACTAAATTGCTCCCATTTGTAGCCAGATAAAGAAGAGACAACAGCTAAGTGAGTATTTCATCTCTGTCAGCAAGTTCATTTCTGAGCTGATCCTAAAGCTTCATTCAAATATTGTGATGTCTTTAATGAAACCACCACCAGTACACTCTATTTCGTTTCAATTTCTCACCAATCAACACCCAAACTGGAGTGCTGCAACTAGAGTCCAAATAAGTAAAAAGGAACTCCTGCATTAAAAACAACACTGCAAAATCCCTAAAGAAAAATGTTTCACTATTAAGTCCGCTATTATCCCAGATTCACGCCAGGATGATTAAAATGTTCACTTCCCCTTTGAATTACTTTTACTTGGGTATCTTTTACCACAGACAGTCTCTGCAAGCAGGATTGCATGTAGCTTATGAGCACACTGCTTTTCCTTTTTTTTTTTCTTCTCCATAAATGCTATTACTTTTGACTGCTTAAACTTTTCTTGTCCTGCATAGGGTTAGCTAATGTACTCTCTCACAACCCAACATCCATCTGGCATAAAGCAGGGTAAAAGTCCTATATTGATGCTTCTTAAGGCTGGACCCCGGGGCAGACCCCTCACAGTCCTGCAGCCTAGAAGGCTCCTTTGGGGGATATTGAACAAGAGGTAGCAGCAGCTGAAGCCAAGTGCGATTGGTGCATTTTGTGACATCACTTTCACAAACCACTATCTATATGTCTGTACATTTTGACATGCTGTCTTGATCAAAATAACATGGTTGCAAAGACCTAAAAGCAATGCTTCTTATTATTTAGCTAATAAAAATAGAGAATCTATATAGTACGTTTATCAATGTTTGTAACTGATTAAGATATGCTAGTTGAAAATAATTCAGCAGCTATTGAAAATTCTCTTATTGATGGCAGGAAATACCAGGTTATTTTTCACCAACATTTAAAAAAAAGTTGACAAACCTATTTTTTAGCTAAAAAAAAATTCATTCTGCAGCCTGAGAAAAAGTAACCATTTTAATCTTAAAATTATTCATGATTTTAAAAATGTTTCCTGTCTTTTGACTAAATGTGATATTGCAAGAGAGAAAGTCTTGACAATTTTTAATCCTTTCAAAGCTGTCAAAGAAATATCTGAGAAACTGCTTATGTTACTAACAATGTATTGCCAAACACACAAAACCCCGTTTTCCATTTTGCTGTCTCCTTAAAGATATCCAGACCAACTTTGCCAGCCTAAGACTATGGCACAGTGCATCCTAACCTGAATATTTAACAGTCATCTGTGCTACTTAAAGTTTAACAATCGTTTTTCCCATATACTTTTCCCAACTCAGAAAAGAGGGTTCAAGTTTGAAAGAGTGCTTTGATTTGTACAAGAGCACAGCAGCCTGTTGCACGCCATTCCGATCTGAGGGCTGTCACTTCTTCCAGCCATCAAGAGACTTCTGAAGAGCCAGAAACCTGTCAAGTACTACTCTCTGTCAAAAAGCAAAAAGAAAATACGCATTTTGATCTGGAAATTCATCTCAGACCAGGTACACCGGCTTGCTGATGACAATTGCCTCTCCACAAGTCTATAATGTTTTTCTTGTATGGTTACATGAACCTCGTATCTGTATCAATCAAAGTGTACTCAAGTATAAGACAAGATGCTGAACTTAAGAACAAGCCCGAAGTCCCAGCTGGTTTTCAAGTTAAATAGAATGTGAAGGAGGTAAGAGTTTCTGACCAGAAAATAATTGTCTTATGGTAGAAACTGTACTACCACAGGAGGCAAAAATAAAGCAGAAAAAAAAATCCAATCAGAACCTATTTTTCACATACTGTACAACTAAGACATTTAGAATAAAACAACCTCCCAAATAATTTCAGCAACTATAACCATGACAAGGTAATGACAACCATTTAAAGTACAAGTATAGAGTTACCCCACAGTTAGCACTTGAAGTGAATTATGACAGGACAAAATGAAGTTGATGCCTTTAGAATATGACAGACTAAGCAGCTGGCCTAAGAACATTTGACCAAAGAAGGTCTCATCTACTCAGGATAAAGTTTTTGTGACAACTGTTACTATCAATAAATAAACTGAACCATTTGAAGACGGGATTTAGACATCACAGTGCAAGAGCAACTAACTAGTCACAGATTTGTCTGTGTTGCAGCTTTAGTCAGTTACACACGACCTTTGAGAAAATCAATTCTTGTAGAGGACTCTGCAGAGCTACTTTCCAGTACACATGAGAAGCATTTATCTTAACCCAACAATTTGCAAACATCTTACAAAGCGACTAGAATAACTAAGATATGACTGAATTTTTCTCTGATTGCTAACTACATCACAATTTGCCTAGTATTTATTGAATATATCAATGTATTTATTCTAAAATATATCTGTTTCAACATGCAATTTCTAATTGCAGAAAATATTTTTGAAAATTGTTCTATGTTACATTTTTTTTCATGCAGTAGGTGCTGTATTTTCAGAGCTTTTTCAAAGACTTAAAATTTTAGGGGTAAACAAGTAGTTATTTATCAATGTGTGCAAACCACTTGGAGGATATGCACCATAAATATTATTAATAGCAATAGGTCTTCCATATTCATGTTTGGTTCAAAGGAGAGAAACTTCAGTAGATTTTTAAAAGTGATAAGAAATAATTTTGTTACTTATGTGTGCGCAGCAAAATATTGTTGCTGAGACACTTAGATTTGACATATGGGAAAAGCGTCTTCATCCAGACTTGCAAATCTAGAAAAAAATTATTTCCTCATCAGGGACCTTCCCCAGATGATCCCTGACCAGTGCAGCTGGTTAAGCAGGTTTCTCCAGTGGTGATTTTTTATTATTTGTCTAGATTTTTCATCTCACAGGAAGGCAGACAGCAGGATGGCTTCACATCTATTGGTTCATGAGACTGATACTTAAGTACTCTAGTGTTTTCCTCAGATCTTTTAATTGCTTAAAAACAACTACCACGTAAGTGCTGATAGCATTAAAATTGCATGTAGACCACGTCCTAGAATCAGTCCTGTTGACTTTCTTTACCCAGTGCTTTTCTATAGGTGCTGCTGCTGTCTGTTACCACCCTTCTCCCCTCTCTTGCAGCAATATCTTTTACCTGTTGGCTCAAGCAGTACTCTTGTCCAACCCCAAAAAAATTAAAAGTATGTGGTATAACTCAACAGGCTGCTTTACAAAAATTATTTCAAAGTCACTTTTTATGTGAAACTGAAATGTATTTCTGAATAGCCAAGCTGCTGAATAGTTCTTAAAAGTTTTGTTTCAATGGCTCTCTGTTGATATTTTTCTCTATGCCTATTTCTCTTCTGATGTTAATCTTTACTGACATTATAGTTTCTCTATTTCTCTGTTGTTATGAAATATTTTTTCTTCCCTTTCTTTTTACCACCTCAGTCATACAGATTTTACAGCGCCAAGACAAAAGGCATAATGTAGCACAAGCATGGCTTAGCACTGGTGTTTGCCTAAGGTCAGCAATAGAAATCTCATGTGCAGAGCTGTTAGCATGAGGATATCAAGTACCAACAGAGAAAATGAACTGGTTTGAGGTGGGTTTTGGCTAAATTGAAAATTACTTGACCACTGTACCACCCCAGCTCCACAGAAAGCAATATAAATTGTTCATAGTACTGAAAAGATCCAGAAAATGCAGAAATAGGGACATGTTAAGGCATACTTCACAGTGAGCTAAAATCCAGAATGGCAATTGTAAATGCTGTGGTGGTCTGCTCATGTGCATCGTTCTGAGCATGGTGCTAAATAACACCAAAGTCCTGGGTTTGATCCTGGTATGGGCCATTACTTTTGAATTGGACTAGGTGATCCTTGTGGGTCCCTTCCAACTCAGAATATTCTGTGGTTCTGATAACATCTGATATATTCATAGTCTCTTCATTAAAACATTCATTTTACACAACTTGATCTTTGCCTTCTTTATCAGATATATGACTCTGCTTTCCATCAGTGGCCATATATTATTTTTCAAATAACATAGATACCCACACCCACACTATTATTACATCTGAGCTTACCATAACTTCTGACTGTTCAGCTGCCAAAAAGATCCATATTTATTTTATACAAGGCAAGGATCTCTTTAGGCAGCCAGCAAGGGCTGCCCATTCCTACCTACACGTAGGTGAGATACAGGCATCATTAAAACTAGATGTTTAGATGTAAAGTCAAGACAGTAACAGGGTGTGGCAACCCTCTCAGTTACCATATTGCTTCCTTTTTTTCTTCCCTGTGCCTCGTCTCTAATTTTGTAGTCAAAACACTCAGTTCTCATTTTCCTTATTTTCTCCCTGCCAACCATAGAGTTCTGCATTGCATGGAGTAAGCCCACACGTGGTGTCTGTGGAGGCCACGTAGCCATTAAGTTGATCACTAAAATTTCAATTTTACATTTTCAAAGATTTTACTTACAATTTTCTGATGACAACGTGATATCAGGATTGTTTTCTTGCCCAAGTTTTCACCATGCAATGTGAGACGATGCCAAAGTAGGTTCAAATGAATACTTGCAAATAGAGACCTGCAGTGCCCCTTTGAAACAGAGATTCTAGAGACAAAGAACACCCTCAGAAACCCTCTAATATGTAAAGAGAGACAGACAAACAGGTCTTGACAGTTCCTCCAAGCAAAAGACTTCACAAACTTACCAATATTTCAAGCTATGGGGTAGAGTATTATATAAAGAATAGAAAATGTCTAATCCTGGTGACCTTCTACAGCCCCAAACTTTCATGTACCAATTCATCAGTCTGTCCTCACAGGTAATTTCTCAAAGATAATGTAGTTAATCTTAAAATAAACAAAAGGTTTTCATTTCTGTAGAAGTACTCATTAATGAAACAATATCTTTAACAGGCCTGCGATTTTCCCAGAACAACAAAGCTGCGACCAGGATTCCAGAAATCTCAAATGAATGATTGCAGGGCATTTCAGGTAGGGAGAACTGGCACATCACTCTTTAGCTGCAGCAGTTCCAAAAATACAGTGTCTTCATTAGAAACACTATGTCATACAGGGATAAGGTAAAATAGACACATTTGTCTGCTGCTCAGTAAAGGTTGCAGGCAGATTAATTCATCTGCTCTCCTCTAAAGCCTTTTCTCTCTCACTGTCTGACTCTAGCAATTGAAGTGACATATTGCTAATGCAAAAAGCTTACCTTAAATGCTCCCCGCCCTCTCCCTGCTGGTACCACAATCACACTATGCCTGGGGAAACGATCTGAAGAGAGATCTCCCATAACCACTGGTCTCAAGATCAACTAGAGATTCCAATCAGCATGGTAAAATAGATAAAAGCTGCCAACCATGGCCATGCAAGGCATAAGAGTCTGAGGCACTTAGCAGAGCTACCTGTATTGTGGGGAGTTTAAATCAACAACAAAATTGCTCTTTATCATGTCAGAAAGTCTCAGAGACTGAAGAAATCCCACTGATATCCCACTGATATCCCTTTCCACCCAGTAAAGGCTCTGATAAGGCAATGCAACAGTGTGCTTAGAAAAGCTGACCAGATGATCCTGAGGAGTTTGCCCAGTGAGTGGAGCTTGCAAGGTTTCTTGCAAGGAGAATATGCCAAAATAAGCTGTAGACAAAGTAGAGTTCCTTTAGGAAAGAAGTGTCTGGAATTAAAAAAAAAAAAGAAAAGATATCACAAGGTCCTTCAGGTTTTTTTCCCATTTGGGTTCTCAAAGTGATGACCAGGTTGCCCATCAAGGCTTCCTTTACTCAGGGCTGGTGAGGGAGCTCATGCCATTATGGCCACAGTCAGACACAGCAGGGGTGGCAGAATCCACTGCATTTCCATCACCACCTTCCAAAGACCTCTGTGCTTCTTTTCCTTCCTGGCATGAATAAGAAGGAAGAGAAGGAAAAGAAACTTTGGGATACAATCTTGAAGATGTAAAGGAGGAATAATGATCACAATCATATTTGAAAATGGAGTTCGTGGTGCTTAGCACAAATGATCAGCATTTGAGGTGATTGTTGCTCTTTTTTTGCGAATATCTGTGCTAGGAGTACTTCCTTAATTTTCTGTGTCCGTTGCTTTTAAATCCATGAGAGTGCTTCAAGCCTACAATAACACATAGACTTACATTTAAAATATTTTTTTATGTATTAGTTCTTAGTTTTGAGCCTCTCTTCAGGGCCAAATCCCCAAATATTGAATGAATTCCTTGCACTGAAGTACTAAGAGATAAGATACCAAATGTGGACTGCTCCAGCCCAAGTCTAGCCTCTAGTAATAAAGCTTTTGGAAAGCAAGCACACTAAGGAAATTTCTGAACATTAAAGAAATGTTCAAAGAGAATAGGTAGTCAGGCAGACATCTGGATTTTGATATCAGGATCTCACTTCAGGTATCCTGCCTTTTGGAGCAAATGTAATACTAAAACAAAGAGTTTGAGTAGTTGCATTATCCATCTGACTGTCTGAGGACATACATCCTGTGCATTTCCATCAGTATGATTTTAATTTCAGGTTTGTGCATTTCACAGTGATTTACTGCTAAGGTAAACCACACATTTGGGTCAAGAGTCGTTCCAGAGTCCAATGCCAACATCTTGTGGATGAGCTGGAGATTCCACAGACAAATCTGATACCTCAAGAGAGAAAAGAAAAGAAAATTTCTCATACACTCAGGTGGTCCCAGATTTGAAAGATGTTCAGCTAATGTTAGTGCTAGACACAAAGTGCCAGAAGCACAGCCTGGTAATTATGTTCTATGAGAGCTACCTCCTCCAAACTCTCCAGATGAGCTACCTCGGAGAAGCTCACACTGTCCTGGGTTTCACATAGTCCGAGGTGTCAAAGGTTTCTTGTTGATTACCCAGGCCCACCTCTGCCTATTAACGTGGCCAAAACCGCTTCTGAAGTCCCCTCACTTTTTCCTCCATCCAGAGCTGAAGATGTCAAAATGATGAAAAGCTGCCAGCCAGACAACCCAGATGTCAGCTGCAGAAAAAGACTACAAGACTGATCTTGTGCCTGATATCAACCTGCTGTGATTGGTGTATATTCTAGTGCCTGAGAAAAAGTTGTGCTACAAGGGTGCTGAGAGTATGAGCAACTAGTGTTAAGAACATACATTAAGCTATATATTAGATACAATTTCAATAACTTGGTTTTCTGTAATTTCTTACTTTCCTTTTTTTTTCCTTGTCTCCTGAAAGCCTGAAATAATTTCATTCTGTAATACCCCAACCTTATCAATAAGTGTTTTCAGAAATAACAGCTCAAACCCATGACCTACAGGATCTTATTAGAAGCAGTGATAATTGATGATCATATCCCATTTATTATTACATCTTGAGGTATGTTAGATTGAGAGTATTAATCTACTTGATGTGTGCCATGTTGATTTTGTATCCCTCTTAACCAGTTGTGCTAGTTTTAGCCGGAATAGAGATAATTATCTTCACAGTAACTAGCATGGGACTAGGTTTTGGATTTATTCTGCTAGCAGTGTTGATAATAAGGACACATTTTATTTACTCTGAGCAGTGCTTAAACAGAGTATAGGTCTCTTCTGCTTCTCATACAATGCCACCAGTGAGGAGGCTGGAGTGCATAACAAGCTGGGAGGGGACATGGCTGGGACAGCTGACCCCAGCTGTCCAAGGGGGTATCCCATAGCATACAGCTCAGCACATGAAGCAGGGGAAAGAAGAAGGAAGGAGGTATGATGATCTTTGTCTCCCCAAGTCACCATAACTTGTGATGGAACCCTGCTTTCCTGGAGATGGAGGAACAACCGCCTGCCCATGGAAAGGGGTAAATGAATCCTTGTTTTGCTTTGATTGCATGTGTGGCTTGGACTTTATCTTTTAAATTATCTTTGTTTCAACCCATGAGTTTACTCACTTTTCCAATTCTTCCCTTTCCACACTGTGGGGGGAGTGAGCGAGCAGCTGTGTGCTGCTGATTTGCTGGCTGGGATAAAACCATGACACCAATACATTCTGTAGCATGAAATCAAAAGTTCTGTAGAAGTCTAAGTATATTGTATCAACATTATTACCTTATCAACCCAACTTGTAATCTCACAAAAATATCAAATTAGTTTGACAAGATCTATTTTCCATAAAACCACATTGATTGGCATTAATTATATTTCTCTCCTTTCATTATTAATCGAGTCTCATACCAGTCATCCCATTGTTTTCCTCAGGACTGATGTCAGGTTAACATGACTGTATTTACCCCATTTTTCTTGTTTACCCTTTCCTGCCTTTGTTCATTTTCTTATAGACTCCTAGGAGTACCCTATTGTTCAAATAATTATTAAAATATTCTTTTTTTATTAGATCTGAAAGATATCTTCTTCACAGCTAAATATTTTTTTCTCCTTGTACCCTTTCAATTCCTTTACCAATGTTCTGTTTTTCTTTGCTTCTGTATTTGTTGCAATTAAATTCTCCTTTCTTTCAACAGTTATACTTGTTTTTATTATTTTTCTAGCTGCTTTCATCCTCACTTTACTGTTGTTTGCATAACCTCTGGTTCCTTCTTTCCTTAGTTCTAACACTGGCATTTTAGCATCTAGTGAAATGTTATCAGAAAGTTTCATATGATATGATTATTTATTTTTCGTGATTCGGTCCTTTCAAAAGATGTCTTTCCTAATTATTTTCAGCTTTAACAACTTGATCATTTGGCTAAGACTCCAATTCAATAAAATAATAATTTAATACTAAAACCTAACTCCACAGCAAATTCTGAACCCAGAGTTAGGGCTGCATTTTTCCACTAGTATGTCTGTGGAAACAGGGCTTGGCAAAGATTGGCCCATGTTAAGTAGATAACTAGTTGAAACTAAATGATTATCAATCAGTGAGTGGAA